AATTTCTGATCATTTGTAATACTTTCCATCTCTGTCCACTCACAGTATGATTCATTGACCTAGAAAACCCCAAACTGCATTTAAATAGCATTCAGGTTGTGAGACAAAGTGACAACAACCAGCAAATTCAAATCATGGCTTGTCCATCCTCCACTTGGGCCACGCTGGGGTGGAGTGGAATAGGAATGAGGAGGAAAATGGCCTGTTGAAGTGTCCTGGTGTCCACTTGCAAATTCCTGACGTTGGTTGCTTTTGTTTCACAGCTGTAGCACTATTTAAAGGTGTTTTGGTTTTGGTTTGTTTTTTTTTTTTGTGTGTGTGTGTTTTTCTTATTGTTTTGTTGGGTTTTTCCCCCCCCCCCTCCCTCATTGATCAAAACTGCAAGCAAGTCCTTTGTAGGGATGCCAGAGGTTCCTGGCTGAGCTGCTGCTGAGGGTCAGGGACATCAGGTGTCTCTGCAGCAGTGAAGCCTGGGACAGCCACAGGGTGCTGAACCGACCGGTGGGTGAGCTGGGATGGATGCTTCAAGCTGGACCTGGAGGGTGATGGATGCCACAATGTCATGTCTGAGGTGACACGGACCACGTAGGGTCCGTGAGGGCCTGTGAGGTCTCTGAGAGCATCACAACTGCCAGCACCAAGCCTGCTCACGGGCCCAGCCGTACCCCTGGACTGGTTTTGGGTGGTATGTTGTTCTGCCAGGAGGAAAGCCAGCTCTGGGCTCCTCCATGTTGTCTGTCTCCTCCCAAAATAGGGTGAGGGGCCCTTGGATGGTCAGGGAAGGAGGCAGCGAGAGTGGGATGCGGGGATGATGCCAAGTGGCAGGTTGCCACAGGAGGACCCGGGCTGAACCTGTGGCCTGGCTAATGCCACTGTTTGGTGGTTGGGTGGGAGCCCTCCTCATGAGCTGGAGGACAACCCCTCCTCCCTGTGAGGAGACAGTGTGGTTCCTCCTGGTTACTGTACCTTAAATACTGCCAAAGGTTGAGTGCTGCCTTTGTTTCCCTAGTGCTGCTTTAAGAGAATGGATAATTGATCTGCTCCTCGTTTGGCAAATGGGCATTTAAAGCAAGCCCTGCATTTCCAGTGGAGTTAGGTTTGAAGCAGTCTGTTGTTTTGGTTTTTTTCCATGTGAATTGCAGTGTTTGACTGTGTAACACTCCCTGGTGTCGGAAGGGATTTGTTTACCCCTGTTGGACTGGCTGGCTCTGTCAGCAGAGCTCACTGTTACCCACTGGGAGAAGCAGACGCCGGGATGTATAGGTCCTACAGAAATCCTACAGATGTGGTGCTTGATTTAAAAACCAAACCCAACCCGATGTTTCAGATCTGGAGGACTGTTCCCATCCAATTATAACACTGCAAGTCACACGTTTTGATCTTTAAAACCTTGGCAATGTCCTTCCAGATCTATATTCTCTTTGAGAAACGTTGCCTGAAATATTTCTGCAGTAACAGTTCAGGCACAAATTTCCTTTTGTCAGTGATGTCTGCTCAAGTAATCGTGACAGTTTCATACTGTTTTCATCGGAAGGGCTGTATCTGTCAGATACTGAGCCTTACAAAATATTGCCTGCTGGAAAAGTGTGTTATGTGCAGATTTATGCAGGGCAGCTCACCAAGTGAAATTTCTGTGGCAGGGGATGAATTCAAGTGGGTCTTGTCCTTAGATGTTTGAATAAGAATGCGAATCTGTTTTCTGTCAAGTAGCTCTTTTGCCTAACACCTCCCTATCCCCCCCTGCCAAATACTGCAAAATTATGAATTAGGTGTGTGATTGAAATCAAATTGAAAGCAAATTATGCTCTCTAAATGCAGAATTAGGTTGGACAGCCCAGTATCTGGCATATGGAGATAGCTATATGTATGTTTGTATAGCTTAGGTGTGAGTTGTGCCATACGTGTCAGTGGCTGTGATCTGGAGGAGCACCCAAGTAATAGTGTCTCCTCCTGAGGACCAAGAGGACCACATCCCGGTTGCCCCACTTACAGATTCTTTCTTTGAAGGCCAGAGGAGATCGTCAGGGGCATTTAGTCTGTCTCGTGCATAAACAGGAGTGCAGGATCTCATCTAATAATCTCCACATTCAGCTCAACAAACTGAAGCTGAAATGGAGCTTCCAAAAGGCATTGAACTTTTGCAGAAAAAATAAAATCCTGTCCCCTTTGAAGTCTCTGACAAAAGTGCTGTTCGCTTCAGCGGGGACAGTTTCTGACCGAGCTTCCAATTTACCACTTCTCTTACTCCTCTGTCTAATTATCCTCACCTAAAATTTCCCTTATTTGCGGCAGTAAGGCAAACAAGTTGTGACCCTTGGTTTTTTTAAGCTCTCTAAACAAGCAGACATAAAAAAGTAAGTGCATTTTTAAGCTTCACTGGTCGTGGTGATGTTGTCACTGGGCACGGGGTGTGCGTGTGTGTCCTTCCCTCACTTCTCAGTTTGTTCTTACAACTCGTCTTTCCTCGAATGTCCGGGTTTTTATTTTTCAAGATACTTGAAGAATGCAATTCCCAAAGTTTTAACCATTGGGGCGTGCAATCCAGCAAGAATGTGTGGGTGTGGGTATGGGGGGAGGGATTTATCCAGCTACCTGTGGTGTATGAGGTTTAATTAAAACGAAGCAACACATTGCTAAATGAGGACTTTAATGCTGTAGCTGCATTATGTTGTTTGTCTATGAACTTACATGAGACATACATTATTTTAGCACTGTTATTACTACTAGTTTATAAAGCCATATTTAAAATTGTACACTTAATTGTAACATAACTTTAAATTGTGCACTGTGTTGATCCATGTGTATATATAGATATGAAAATCTGTATATTTTGTCTTTATGCCGTTATGTCATTGTTGTGTAAATTATAACTAATGGATCTAAAATACCCTTCTGCTTCACGTCCTTATTCTGAACATCTCTGGTGCTTTCTCTAGAGCTTTGGACTAACCATGTTCTCCTAGATGTGAGAGCGTGGAGCTTTAATAGCCATGGAGTTAAACCCTTGGCTCCCCAGGCAAATGCTTCAGCCACCAGAGTGATTTGCTTGGGGACACTCTGTCACTGGCCATCTCTCCCCTCCATGCTGCAGGAGGGGTCTCAGCACAGGAGGAGGGACTCTGCTTAAATTTGGGCACGAGGAGGGTTCCCTGCTCCCCTCTCCCTCTCTTCTCTGGCTACTGCCACCAGTAAGTCCTTAGCTGGACCGGGCAGGTGATGTGTAGAGTCTTGCACCTCCAAGTGCCTTCAGCCCTCGCAGGGGCTCGACATCAAGTCCCGCTTCGTGAGTAGTGATGACAGTGTTGTAGGTGCACTTCACCTACCTGAACATAAAAAGAACCCCCAAAAAGACAAAAAAACCCCAACCAACCCAAGTCAGACCCAACCGTATAGCACCATTCTGAGTAGATTTGTAGCTCCTTTCATTGCCTTAAGGTTTTATGGCCGGTGAGGTTGATGTTTATAGACTTTTCCTCCATGAAGGCTAGAAATGTCAATGTATTTAATAAACACAGAGGTCAGAAACTCCTGCCTCGGTTGTGATACAGGACTTGGAACATTAAATATTGCAAGCTCAGAGGAGCTGGCAGCCAAAGCTGAGAGCCTTGTGAAGGTCAGGTCTCTCCCCGTTCCAATGAACTGTCTTGGTGAAATACTCACATGCTCCATTTATCCCCCAGTCTCAAAACCTTTATTCTGGTCATGACAGGGTTGTTCTGGGCCATGGGGACACTTCCAGCTGCTTACTGCAGCCTCCCTGGCAGGAGTTTGGTGGTAAGCCTGGTCTTAATCCACAGAGCACTTCTGGAAAGGTAAGGGTACCTGTGTGTCCCATGTGAGGAGGTGGGGGTAGGTGGTCCAAGAGTGCCCCAGGGGGATTGAACTAGATGACCTTTAAAGGTTCCTTCAAACCCAAACTGTTCTATGATTCTAACACTCCTCATCTTTCCAGTGAAATTGTTAAAAGGAGCTGATCAGAAGTCTCCGTGCCACCTCTGTCCCCACTCAGATGTCTGTGGCCAGGCTGGAGTTCGGTTGCCCGAGGTAGGTGCCCAGTGTCTCCTGAGATGCCCTGGGAGACCCAGGCCACCTGTGCAGAGCTGGCTGGTGGGACCCAGGGCAGGCCTGAGGACAGGATGGCAGGCAGGCTGTCTTAGGGCATCTAAAATGGTGGCTAAACACCTTGTGTCCAGGCAACAATCCTACCTGGATAATCACTTCAAAGGGAAAATGAAAGAAAGTGATGGTGGTGGTGTCCCAACTAATATTATTCAATGTTTATATTATGGTAGGAGCTAAATAATCTGACCAGCATGAACCCTTGTGTGCGATGTTCTTCAGAGGTTCGGGCTGCCTACCACGAGGTGGAGATTTGCTCCAGGTGCTGGGTGCAACCTCGGGGCTCCTCAGTGGAGCAGAAGTGTCTTCCCCAGGAGTGGTCTGACTGCACCACCCGGGTCTCTGTGGGTGATGGTGGAAGCCAAACCTTTATCTCAGGACTGTACCTTGCAGCCAGACATCACCATTAACACCTCTTCATCCCAGGCTGAATCGCACCCTGGAATGTCCATGTGTTCACCTGGAAGCCCAGCCATCATCTCCATTCTGACGTTTTTTCTGGGAAATGACGTACCGTTGCAGAGAGGAGAAGTCGTGCGAGGTGACTCCAGGCTGTAAGGAGCACTCCAGGGTTAGGACATACCAGGGTTCAATCAGCTGCAGAGTTTTAACCCCACCTCTTTTTGCACAAGTATCAAATTGCAGAT